ATATTTTTTTTAAAAAAGCAAGTAAGCAAGAAAGAAACAGCAATCACAATAATACATTGAACTTTCAAAAGGAGAAAACAGAACTGTGGTTACTGGAGGTGGTAAAGTGAGAGGGAAAGGGGGTTAGCGAGAAATTGGTCAAGGGTCACAAACAATGATCACGTTTTCTAATGATGAATATACTAATTATCCTGATTTGATCATTACATACTGTACACAGGTATTGATATTCAACTCTGTATCACACAGATATAAATAATCATTGTTTCATTTTTTAAAAAAAGTTCCAGAAGCAAGCACAAAATTTCATTATGATTAAGAAGATATTTTATTTGGAAATATTATTTAATACAAAATAAAATAACCACAATCCTGTTTAAAAAAAAATTAGTAGTGACAATCCAGTTTCATGTCTAGTAGTCTTCCATAGCTCAGGAATAGAAGTGGCTGTTTTGATAAACGGGAAGTTGACATTTTGCAGAGAAAATCTAGTGGAAAAAGAACTAGTTCTTTATAAATGGAGATGCGTGGTGGGTGGAGAGTGGGAGATTGTTAGATCCAGAAATGAGGAAAAGTTATGGATTATGTAGCCATACAAAATGAAGGCTAAAGAGAGGGATTTCTTTTACACATCTGGACAAATAATGTGTAAAAGTGCCAAAGGGGAGCTGGGAAATGACAGTACTGCCATCAGAACCTGAGGCTTCTGAAGGAGAGAATGGAAGGAACTGCGTTTGAGAAAGCTACTAGGGAAGCTGAGTCTTTGGTGGAGGTGTGGGGGGTTGGGAGCAGGGAAGGAAAGGACACATTTTATGAAGAAGCTGAGAGTATAAGAGCGTTAATTGAAGACGTAGGAGGAGTTTTGGAAGAAGAGTGGAAAGACGCATCCGGGCAGAAAGCACTCATCCGCATTGAGGATGAGACAATAGGTGTGGGAGGTCGGGAAGTGGAATCCAACTTTGTTTCACACCTTGTTAAATAAGAATGTTCTTTGTCAAAAGAGCCACTTACAGCCCATTTGATTCTTGTAGGGTTACCTCGATAGGAATTATGAAGGTATATTGGAAGCCTTAAATTAATATTGAGATCATACAAAATAGCCCATAAATGATCCCAGTCTATGAAGTCAAAGAACAGATTAATACCCACTATGAAAAGTCTTAAATTATTCTTGACATTATTTTTTGGTTAGATAAAACACAGTGGATCAAGAAGTTAAGGATAGGTTAAGGCCACTGGTTTCATATGCAGGCTATTAGATTGAGAGACCCCCAAATCCAGTTTACCAAGAAAGAATGTGCAAATATTTTGAAAGAATTCAGCTAATTTTGGATATCTGCTGTACAGGATTCGGCCTTTTAAAAACAGAATGTATGGAATATACATTGCATGCGGGAAAAATATTACCAAAATTATACTTATGGTGAACAATTCTGCAAACATTAGGGCAAGATTAGGAATTCTTACACCAAAATATCATACTCAGAGCATTCTTCAGTTTTAGGAAGTTAATTAGTTTTCCTATCTGGAGTCAATGGACTCCAACTGGGCAGAATTCTGCAATCATAGAATTATAAAAGAAATTCAATGAGAATTTTGAGCAGATCTTTCCGGTTACTGAAGTCATATGAACAACACAATGTCCTGAGATGGACAAATGTAAAGCACAGTGCCTTCCACTTATATCTTTCACAGTCTAGTTTTTGGTGAAATTAAATTAAAGTGCTACTTTAGGAACTTATTTTTATTCTTTTTTTTTTTTCAGTTGACTACTTTAAGTACCACTTGTAAGTGTATTGCTAGTGGGTCAGAACAACCTGTCTTTCTGTTACCCACATCCTGAGCACTGAAGTCTGGTTTCAAGTTAGATTACTTGGAGTGTGGAAAGTATTGAAGATTTTTGTTTGTTTGTACTTTCTTAATTCTCTGGTTTAAAATTCAGAAGCAAAATCTGCACACTTTTAAGACCATAAAACTGTTTATGCTGTCATCATTAAACCCTTTCAACTTTCTCATTCATTCATTTGGCAACAATTTACTGACTGTCACCTGTGGTGCCATTTTTGTGTGAAGTCAAGATTTCATGTGGGAGTATTAAGATAATTATTAAGATAGGAAGTTACCACATTTTGATGTTCACCTCATAAATGAAGAAAACTGAAAATATTAATTAATCATTGGTATTGGTCACATAGTAATGTGAGTAAAGCCATACTTGGATTTATCCTATAGGTGTCTGTTAAACAAAGAGACGTGGCTATGCATAAATTAGATCAGATGTTTCCTTCTTTGGTTAACGTGACTATCTGTAGATGTGTGTGCTCACAAGGAAATAGACTTTTCACTCCAAATCTTCCATGAGTAAGTTTTTAACAGGGCCATTAATAGCAACATTCAAGTCACTTGTAATGATCATGCCTGCCAGAGTATGTTAATTATAAGAGTTTAAGAGACAATGAGATTGCGTCATACGTGCATCAAAAGTAACACTATATACATTATGATGTTCCTTTATCAGTTAGATAAATCAAGATGGAGTTATATGATTTTGACTATTTGAAATTTGTCTCTGATATTAACCAGTGCCAACATAGCCAATTTGCTTGTACCTCCTCCAAAGTTAGATTTTAAGATAGCTCCAAAAAGTGAGATTACTTTTGACACATATACTAAAGATCTTAAAGGAGACCTTTTATAAAATTAATTATGTAATCTATTACTGAGTACTCTATAGTAGAGTTAGTGTATAAATCTAGCACTAGTCCTGTATACTCACATTATGGGGTTGGGAATGGAAGTGAGATAAAAGACAGCCTTAAATCTAAGGATTATTGTGTTACAATATTTTATGGAATTACATGGGAACAGAAGCACTCCAGTATTGTGGAAGGCCTTATGTCCCCCATAACTTCAATAAAAATAGTGGTTATGTTTCTCTGGAGAACATTCAGAGATAACAGGATTTTTTTAAAAAGGAATTGGTGGATAACAGTTAGCATATCTTATCTTAATTCAGTAAAAAAAATCCCTTAAAATTCCACACAAAAAAATTAATTCCTCAACAAATAGAAAGTGCAAAGAAGTCAGCTCTACTCAGAGTGGGCACTAGTTTCCTAGAACATCCCAGACTCCACTCTAAAGCATAATAATTGAATGATGGTTGTTACCTGTACACTTACGATTTGTGGATTTTGGCAGTTTCAGATAGTTACTATTTACTTCAAATAATTGGGCTGAAAGGTGATAAGTTTCTTACTTGATCCAGAAGTTTGTATTCTGCAAATTTACCCTATGTTCCCACAAGGCAGCATTTACCCACAGGACATCTTGAACCATTTTCTTTGGAAATGCTTAGATATAAATATAGAATTCTATTACAAAACAAAAAAAAATCTAAACTCGTTTTATTCTCTTTACCTATTTTATCAGTAGAAAGCTTTTTAATTATGTTTTACTATATTATTTTAGTGAGAAATTATTGGTGAAAACGTTGGTACAATTTCTATTTACAAATTCAGTGACCAATAAATATCAAATAATACCAAAAGGACATTTCTATGGGTTTGCAAAATACAAAACTGAATTAAAAATATATTAGAGGAAAATAAAATTCTCAATGCTGTAAAATAATTTGTGTGTATAGTTGTCAGAATAACAAAATTTATGATCCATTGCCTTTAAAATTTAAGATCTCCCTATCTTACTTTTAAAAGGAATTCAGAGCACTGTGTACATTGCCACAAAAAAGAGTTTTATTGCTCATTATAATTATTATGTCAAAAAGAATGATTTTTTAAAGAAAGAATTAACACTCATAGAAATGTATCAAAGTGAAAAACATTTAATTAAAGACACATTTGGTGATTTTATAAAAATAAAATCACAGATGCCCTGTCATTTTAGTTCTACATACTTCAGTATGCATATCTTAAGAATTACAGAAGTTTTGTTACAAAGGTACCGTTTTTCAAATCAAAATATAAAGTGTGTGACTTTTTTTTTTCTCAGCCAGTTTCTTAATACATGTTGACCTTATTACTTCAAAAATACTTTCAGTGAATTATACAAAAGATGATTCTAACTATCTCAAGGTATTGTGTTTATGTGTATATATGGATATTTGTTACTTGTATTTATTAACTTAGTAATTCCTTAACAAATGAAAGAAAACTTCATTGTAGAATGTAGGTTTGCTCGCAAGTGGGTTTTGTTATTCTAGACCAGGCGAAATATAAGCAAAAACCATAATAGCAGTGGGAGAGTGCAATAAACTGGTAAAGGAAGGAATCAGGTTCTGATTCTATTTCTTATAATAACTAGAAAAATGAGTGACTACAGAAGTAAAGCTGGATATGTTTCCACTTGTAAAATTTTGATCAAGGATATTGATTTGTTATAATTTCTGTGCTTTCTAAAACAATCCATATTGGATTTCACAAAAATACAAACAAGAAAGGATCATAGGAAAGGGAAGCCTGTACCATCAAAATACAAAGAAAAAAAATTGATGAAAATAATTATTTAAAAAATTTGCAATCACACTCCTTTTGCTTATGGTTTGCAGTCCTAGGGTGTTTTTTTTTTTTTTTTCTGTCCTCCACAAATCTATTAACCTAAGGAGGGATGAGAATCAGAGAAGAGGCTACTCATTATTTATCAATTTTGCTACCTTGTTTTAAAGCAGCTTTACTAAAATGTCCAGAAGGACAGTAAGTGGAACCACTGGCAAAACCAATGTTCTTTAAAACATATATTTACATATTTGTGCTATTTCTCTTCCGTGTGAAAAACCTACAGTTGGTTATAATATCCATAAAGCAGAGTGCCAGCCTCATAGTAGAGAAATTTAATCTCTGTTTCTATTTCTGAAAGTTCTCATATTTTCATTAAGTTGATAGTTACACTACACAACATAAATGCCTACTGACATTGGTAATATGATTTATTTTTTTAATTGATCATAAGAATTGATTTTATATTTTGGTCAACAGATATTCCACATGACGTATGATCTCGCCAGTGCGGTGGTGAGAATTTTTAATCTCATCGGCATGATGCTGCTCCTCTGCCACTGGGATGGTTGTCTTCAGTTTTTAGTTCCACTGCTGCAGGACTTCCCACCAGACTGCTGGGTGTCTCTAAATGAAATGGTTGTAAGTAGTTCTTATTCTTTTACACTCCGCCTTTTCAACATTTGCCAAAAACTTTTAAGTATTTATGTTAGAATGATCAGATTTCTTCTCCATAAATGTTCAGAGACAACTTGATTTTGTTTCCATGGATATAAAAACAGATGTTTTTTTTTTTTCCTACAGCCAAATTTTGTTTACATAAAATGTTCCTGGAGATCTATTTTTGTATATTTTACTCTGTATATTAAGACAAATTTTATTTCAAAGGTACAAACACATACAAATAATTACAGTATAACATTCTTCCAAAAATGCCTACAGCTTAGAATAATTCCTTCTTTCACCCTTTTCTTTTTTTTTAGAATGTTTGAGACATACAATTGTAGGGGTTGTTAGACAAAGATGTAAATATCAGTATAGATCAAATATGTAAATATCAGTATAGATATGTATAAAGTGCAATGAGATTTTTGTACATAGTGCTAGGGAAAACAAGGAAAACTTCATGGAATAGGTAGCCTTTAAACTTAATTCTGAAGGATATGTAAATATTTAAAAACTTGTAAAATATAAATTTGTCTTAGGTAGGTAAGTATATTTTTATTCCCATTTAATTTTAAGAGCATATGTTTTGATCTCCATAGTGCAACATTCAACACACAAAAGAATTGAAATAACAGTGAATAATTTTAGTATATATACATATATATTCAAATATGATGTATTCACCAATATTTGTTTTCACTTTATGTAAGTCCTCACATTTTTTTCCCACATTACAATTTTAATTACATTGCATTTAATAAAACATTGTTTAAGTTAACTATTAATTTGCTTCCCTTATATGTGAAATTTTATGGGAGATAAATTTTATGAGATTTTCACAAAATTTTTACCTTTGGCATAAATAAAATGTTATCTGCTTTTCCCAAACTGCTCTACTATTAATTTCTTGGTTTATTATTCTAGAAATTATATGGACATTTTAAGATTATAGATTTTTCTTTCTCCTAATAACTTCAGTTCAGACTTTGTATTTGAAGTAAAAATAGGTTTACATTACATGTTGAGGAGTATCGTTCTCTTTTCTTCTTTCTTGGTTATTTTCTTTCCTTCCTCCCTCTCTCCCTCCCTCCCTCCTCCTTTTCGTACTGTTTACTTTTATTGAAATATACACCTGGATCTTCCCTTCATTTCATTCACATCTGCTTAAATATCACTACTTCACAGAGACCTTCCATGACCACTCTACCTAATATATCACTAAAATGGTTTCTATTTTAATTATAATAGCATTTAACCACACACACACACACACACACACACACACACACACACACACACACACACACACAAACACATATACTCTCATTTATTATTTATATTTTTCTGTCTCTCCCACACAAGAATGTAAGTTCAAAAAGTTTATGTTTTCTCCTGTCTTTTATCTCCAGGGCTGTCTTAGTCTTTTTTTTTTTTTTTTTTTTTGTCCTTTTTTGTGACTGGCCTCACTGCACTCAGCCAGTGATCACATCGCGCCGGCCATCCCTATATAGGATCCGAACCTGCAGTGGGAGAGCTGCTGCGCTCCCAGCGCCGCACTCTCCCGAGTGCACCACGGGCTCGGCCCAGTCTGTTTTGTGCTGCTATAACAGAACACCCCAGACTAAGTAATTTATAAAGACAAGAAATTTATTTCTCACAGTTCTGGAGGCTGGGAAGTCCAAGATCAAAGCATCAGCAGGTTTGGTCTCTGGTTCCAAGATGGCACTTTGTTGCTGCATCTTTGGGAGATGAGGAATGCTGTTCCTCACATGGCAAAAGGTGGAAGGGTGGGAACCTACTCCTGCAAGCCCTGTTTCTAGGGGTATTAATCCGTTCATGACAGCTCCACCCTAAACATCTCCTATCAGGCCCTACTTCCCAACACTGTTGCACTGGGGATTAAGTTTTCAACACATGAACTTTGGGGGATTCATTAAGACCATAGAAAGTACCTAGAAAAGTACCTGACATGAATTTGTTGTAACCTAGTCACTCATCATCAAAGGATTGAGAAATGTTTTATATGGGAGCTTCCATAGCTAAAGAATAAAGCAAGAGTTTGATCAGCTTACTTTTCAAATTTGTGATGTTTCCTTGATTATAGAGCTTTAGCTTTACTTATCTTTGAAGTAGCAAAATATGTAGTAAAGACAGTAATAAAGATTTTGGGGGGAGAGGAAAAGCTATAATCTTGCTACTAAGTGAATAGTATAAAAACACTAGCACTACTGCCAAAAAATGACTCATCATTGGTACCAACCAATATGTAACTTGGAAAATAATTGCTATGTTAAATTTTCCTAGGTATCCTTTGGAAAAATAGTAATCGTCATTATTAAAAGAGTAAAAGAACTATTTTGGGGTTACTATAAAGTGAAAATGATTATGTAATTATAATTTAGGGCAGTATACTACTTAATATATCTAGTTGTAAGCACAGTTATTGAAAAGAAATTTGTTGTACATTTTTCTTTAAATTTGCCTACATGTGCTCGTGTGTGTATGGTTGTGTTTGTGATATGTATGTTTAATCTTAACATAGCCAAACCTTCAACCTTCATTGTATCTTGATGTTATACAAAATATCTTTCCTGAATTTGCATTTTACTTCATGGCTTTTTTTTTTTTTTTAAGCAGCTGATTTACTTATGAAGTTGGCTTTTATTTTCTTTCACATTTATTTAACATTATTACCACATGTAACTATAATGTAGAGAGCAGGAAACAGTTAAGTCCATGTTCAAATGTAAAAACCAGAAATTCTTTTATATTGTGGATATTCATAATATGGAAGAAATAACCATAAAAAGGATGATTTTTGTATGAATAAACAATCTTGATTGTGTCATTTGATCTTGAAGATATTATTTTCCATCCTAAAGCTGTAGAATTCTAGAAAAACTTCCATCACAAGAACAACAAAAAAATTAAGTATATTTATTCACTAAGAGAATAATAATGGAGAAATGAAAATCTAATATAAGAAAAAAAATCAATCTGCATTAATTTAATACAGTTACTAATTTTAAAACCCTGTGCTCTGAAATATGCTATTTTATTTGATCCTCTGAGCAACAGAGTGAGGTAAGCACTATTATGTCTCATGTTATGGTTCAGAAAACTGAGAACTGAGTTTTTAGCAGTTAAATGAGTGGTCTGATGTTACACAGGTAAGTTATAGAACCAAGAATTGAATGAATATATATCTGACTCTATAATTTCTGCTCCAAACCACAATATAATGTCTTATTTTGCATAGATTATATATTTTTAAAAAACAGTTAATAAAAGCAATGATACAAAGGGAAACCTATAGTCACAGTACTCCAGTTACAGTAGAAAGTCACTTTAAAATCAGCATTTGAACTCTAACACTAAAAAGTGACAAGACTAAAGTTTTTTCTAGATAGAGAAAAAGAAAATCTAATTTGAAAAGCAAAAATTGAGAAGCCAGACCAAGACGTATGCAGGACATATAAGTCATTCTTGGGTATGTTCTTGACAATTATTGTGTGATATTTGGCTTTGATGCTAAATTATTTATGGTAAAGACGAGTGTGTTTAACACATTTCTTATGTTTTTCTTCTTTTTCATATCTTCCCTCTTTAAATGCTTTACAACCTTAAATATTATTAAGCACTATATATTTAAGTACTCTTTAATTGATATTTGTATTCTTATCTATAACTCATTAATTAGTTATTCATAGGGAAAATACCATGAGAAATTCAAAGTCAATGCTATAACTATACTACTTCTATAATTATGGTGTTGGTAATTTAATATGTTTATTTTTATGTTAACTATTTCTAGTCTGCATTTTATTCCATAGAAGTAGGTTCAATTCCTCCCAGCTGATTGTTTTTCAGTCTTTATAAACTCTTCATTAAAGCAAATCTTTAAATATTCTTTTTAAAAAGTCAGTCACTAACCATGGTGGGCTACTTAAATTGACTCAAAAAGAGATACTGACTTGCAAAGTGCAACATGATCAGGAATGAATCTTGCTCTGCTTTTGTTATATTTGCTTTTTTTTCATTCAAGAAATAAGTCTGAATTATAGAATTCTGTCTAAATAAAAATTTCATATTAGGCAATAATGTCTGATAAAGTTAATTTTATTCCCATGAAATTTTGTGCTTATGCTTTTAGGTGTAAAATTTTAAAATTGTATTAATTCATTATAAAAGAGATTAGGGAAATGGTTTTTGGTTTAAATTTAGAAACATGAAATATTCATTTAAGAATATAAGAAAATAAAAACCATGATGTATATTAACTTGCATATTAATTTTGAACTGAATCTAAAATATCCGGTATAACTTAGGGAATTATTTTACAGAGTAAATAAAGAAGGATTTACAGCTAAACAATAGGTTCCTAGAGCAATCTTTCATTGAAGTGTGCAGGTTACTCTCATGGAGTTCATGTTTTCTACTAGCAACCTTATATATGTATGTTTACATGCTGGTGATAGTTTTAAAGGTTTCAAAGTAAGCATTTTATGAATCTAGGATTATATGAATAGCCTACATAGAGTTTGGATATGCTTTTGTAGTTGGAGTACATTGTGTCATGAAGTGTTACACTGAATAATTTTGATTTATGGGCATAATTAGTAAGTGATGCATTTATACCAAATGAAGGCTAACTGATATAACATTAAATGCTTTATAAAATTTTGACCATAGTCAAAAGGGAGAAAAGGTTTGAAGACTGAGTCTTTCATTCATAGCACTCAGTTGTAAGAATAATGTGTAAAAACCACACAGTCTAGAAAAACTCGTGGTATGACAGCATTAGATGAACATTGTATGCAACTACTTAGTTTCAGCAAACATTATCCATCAAAATAAATTTACAGTGAGTCATGTTTGTTAATTTATTATTTTGCTAATATTTGATTTGTAAGATTATTTTTGTTTTAGCTTTATAAGAACTATAAGGATAAGGAACATTTATCTAGTTTTATACT